CGCAACGAGAAGATATGGTGCGCGCGGCGCTCGGCCGGAAAGAACAGCATGATGCAGGTGCTAGCGAACAAGCCGATGGGTAGATTGATACCGAAAATCCAGCGCCAGCTGACCTTGGAGGTGATGGCTCCTCCTAGAACCGGACCCAAAAGGAAAGCGAGGGCGAGAGTGATACCGATTAAAGCTCCCATGTGACTCGGGTTCTTGGCAGGACCATGTTCGAGGAGGCAGATTTGAGCAAGGCTGTAGAGACCGGCACCTCCAATGCCCTTCAAAGCGCGGAAGATGATCAGGGATGTCATGCTCCAAGCGGCGGTGCAGCCAGTCGAGCAGAGTAGAAAGATGGTCCAGCTGACAAAGAGGATGAGCTTTCGGCCGTAGATGTCGCTTAGCTTGGAAACACCGACGGAGCACCCCATGTACGTAAGGAGGTAGGCGAGAAGAATCCAAGAGGCATTGGCGTGGTCTTGAAACTCCTCGGAGATGCTCATGAGAGACGTGGCGATGACTGACGTATCCAGAGTCGAGATGAACAGGCCCAGAAGGATACTACGAAATCAGCTTGTATCGTCGGAATGGAAGCATGCTCTTTTACCTGAAGACGAGAAGAACGCCATGGACCTTGTCCGAAAGACGCGGCTTGCGTTGGGGACCACTTTGTACCTGAGGAGGAGAAGAATTGGCGGCGGCGAATCCAGCAGTGTCGCCCAGGGATGGGTTGGGGTATGAGAGAGGCTGGGCGATTCGCTCGTTGGACGCGGCAGGTTGCTGAGGGGCTTCCATAGTGAATGACGATGAGCTCGATCGACCGAGGACGCGGAAGTTTCGATTATTTCGGCAATGAGTGCGAGAGGCAACGGAAGTATCTCAACCTCTTCCTCGAAAGAACTTGGAGCACGTCTTCGATCCTTGCTGTCGCGGAGCACGGCTTGCAGAGACGCAGATGGGGGATCCGAGAAGTAGAGGAAAGGAATTGAGTTGATAGTAACCTGTGGGAGGATGAAAGGAGGGAAGGAAGAATTGTAGATTGGGTGTGGGAAGTGAGGGGGAATGGTTGAGGCAGAGGAAGGGGAAGGGATGAAAATTTGGAAAGGGTTTGACCGGACACAAAGGGGAAGGGCAGCTCTGGCTTCACAACACAACTTCTTGCCCTACCAACCCTAAATCAGATCTGGAGGAAGCAATCAAAAGGCCAAGAGCAGAAGAGACTTGCCCTCGCCAGTAAGAAGTAATCCTCTTGAGGAAAGTGAAGGCAGAGCCTCAGTGTTGCTGATGCTGATAGGTCCACGGTCACCTGGCCGATGTAAGAATGATGTCGTGGTGAAGGTTCCTTCAAGGCGAGAGCATATGTGAGCACACTCCTGCCCCTGGCTGAACGTGGCAGACAAGACAGAGTGAAGAGGGAGGGGAGACACAGCTGCACACCCGTTAGCCTGGGGCAGCGGCCATAGTGCATTACATATAATGATGGAAGCCCTCTCGAAGGCAGGCAAGATCCCCAATGCATCTACCCAGAATGCCCGAGACACCTACTTTCAAGAGCAATGCTAGCAGCACTTCTCGCCAGCCTGAGCTTGAAATCTTCTCTAACAGTTTCACCCAGGCGAAGACACGGATGATGACGGGTGCTGTGCGAGGTTGGACAAAGCTAGGGCGTCAAGACTTGACGAAGGCCATGAAGGGTCCCTTTCTGTACCTTGCATCCACCTGTACCGACTGCATAACTCAGGACAAGATGTCAGTCTTCTACCAAGTCTGTAGCCGAGATGTCAAGGGAAGTCCAAAGGCACTTTGCCAGTTCCCTGGGGGCATTGTGCTTGTACCAGTAGATTCGCCAAATCTGACAGTGTTGGTTTCTCAGATACGGTATCGTCGCCACCATGCAGCCAAGGACACCTCCCGTTGTCGTACCACCCCGAGACCCTTCACTGGCCGAGGCCATGGCTGTCGTAAGTGAGCCACTCAGGTGAGCTGAGGAAGTTGGGGGCATCTTATAACAAGCGACACTGTTTTACCCCGGCTCAGGAGAGCCGGCTCTGCAGGAAATTGACTGGCTGTATATTGTTGCTGCTGCGAACCGACCGTGTCACCTCGTGCCTCCTCAGCTTTCTGGTCTGAGAGGCACGAGCGAGGCGGGGTGACGAAACTCCTGCTGGATCGGTGTACCTCCAAATGCCACCACGCTCTGGTGCCTTATGCGTCAAACCCCCACTTGGGACGTTGTGCCGTGAGATGCCTCGTGGTTGAGTAGCCATCATCCCGAGACCTGATCCGCAAAGGCGCCACAGGATCCTTCAAGAATGCAGCTTTTGCGAACGATCATATTCAGAATGCAGAGTAGAAGTCGAGATGGGATAAAACGAACGAGATTTCCTCGGCTTGGTAGGCTAGAAAAACAAAGGCCATTGAGCCTGAATCTTGTGCGACTTCGCGTTGAATTCCCTTAATGGTCCGGAGAAGCGCGGGAGAAGTGATGCTTGCTGGAGATCGGAGCCGGAGAAGCGGCAAGTCCAAGCGTCTTTTCATAGGATAAAATGGTGTGTGTGCCACAAGCCAGTGGAGGGCACACCTCTTCATCTCGACTTCTCAGGTGTTGTACTTCATGCTGTATCACCCGAAGTCGTTCGTCTTGGCAATCGACTGGTCACCTTTCAACATGAAGCCAGTGCCAATTCCAACTCGGGTTCAGTTCTCTCCCACGATTGGTTCCACAGGCGAGATATGCTGGCGTTCTGTGGCTGGAAAGGGGATGAAGATGGCTGCGACCAACCCCTTGTAAAAGTAAGGATGAACTGAAGGAGGCACGGACCATAGACACTGTGTGTGAAGTCGGATCGGATCAAGTTCGGACCGAAGTATACTGACCTCTCTTTACTACATGCAGGGGGGCTTTGGACCACCAGCTTCTTAACCCTGTCAAGGTCAACTGAACGAAACAAAGCAGTTATCTGGAATGCAACCTTCTTGATATGAACTTCAGTATTCATGCTCCAGCGATCATATCAGCAGATCCAAATCCGCTGCTCCGGTGGTTATGCCATTTTCGACGACGTTCGATGTCCGGTCTGCCCGCTCTGTCATACGATTGGTTTGCAATCATGTCTCAATAAGGGTTCCTGCATGTACCATGCTGGCACATCAACCAACATCAAAGATGCCGCCTTTCCAAGAGCGGATTTCCTCGGCTTTGAGGTCACGCTCCACGACAACGTCAAGTTAGCTGCGGATCAGAAGCTTGGATTTGGATGGTGGTGGGTTACAGCGGCTTGGGGGCGAGGCGGACAAGACTTGCTTCGAATGCAGTCGTTCCACATACGGCCAAATTCAAACTGTGCTCGACGACCCCATGCTCTCGATACCGGTGGACTGCTCTGCCACAAGGCACGGTTATCAAGTGAAGCCGCAAGTCCTTGCCGACCCGTTGAAGAGGAGCCTCCATCTCGGGGACGGAAGGATTGGTATTTTTAGGGGGGCAGTGCTTCTCGCGGATGAAGAGCAAACTACTGTGGTATTTCAGGAGTCAATCACGGGACCCTCTGGAGGTGCCTCGGGCGTTCCATGTGTCCTCGGCCCGAGACTGAACTGTGGAACTGGAGACTTGGGACTTCTCTCTGATACAACCCGCAGCTAGCATGAGGACGTGAACTCTGACAATCGTGATGGCAGGAATGCTGACATTTTGCAACCCAGTTGCTCAGGTCATACTGTCTGACGTCCCATCCCTCGAAAACGTGGGATGATTGGCAGCCCAGCACCGTGGCAAAGCGTACCAGAGTCGTGATATCGACACTGACTCGGGACCCCCTTTCCGACCTGGCTACCTCCCTCACTGGTCGTACTACAAACGCTCTTCATGATCTGGGGTACCTTGAGATGTAGGATTCATCAGCGCCCAATACGCCCGAGATTGAAGCTGCCATGGGCTGTGAAGTTGACAACACCAGCGAGCTAGTGTTCCTGGTACATTTTGTTTGAGAAATACGGTGAAGAGGACGTTCCGAGGCACCATCCCGACCAAATATGGGGATATCTGCAAGTTGAGCCCTAGCTGCAGCAACGTAGAACAAAGTTTCTGTCACCTTCCCACTGTTCCCTGCGGCCCCCAACGGCCCTATGTCAGAGGGCTGATTGCATGTCAAAGCTGACTGCGCCTCCACCTTATTCTATTCCAAGCTCCTTCCGACAACTTTGAGGTCATCGTCATCCAAGGTGTCGTTCATGCGCAAGATTCTTATAGCCTTCGATGACTTTTGGCCATTGCCTTCCATAATCACGGGCCAAGGGGCCATGTCATAGATCAGTTCTCAAAAGACGTTTGGCTTACTTATACCCATATGGCAGCCCTTCATTCATGATCATTGAACAAAGAACAAGGCCTACAATAACAGTCAGATCTACATGAAGGCGGCCTTCTGCACATGCCGCCGGTCATCTACACCACACCAAAAGAGTTGCGTTGACCCAAAGGGGCAGCTTTTGGGGTCCAAGAAGCCTGAGCGGTGACTAGAAGAGTATTTACCTTCGGAAGAACACCGCTGCTTCTCTGTGAAGAAGGGGGGTTGCATTTGGTGGCGGTTTCCTCAAGTGTTGACCACGATCGGAGCGGCCCATTCACCCTCACATTCACTTCACCTCCACACCTCACCTCACGTCGACACTAGCCCTTTTCGTCAGGGCACCCGCCCTCGTTCTTCACCTTGGTCTGTTTACTTTCAGATCAAGAGAAAAGTCTTCTCCATCTCAAATCGTCTGAAAACTTTTCATCCTTCCTCACCTTCTCTTCCTCCTGGACATCTCCATCTCCCTCTTCCTGCGTCCTCCCCTTCCAGAGCACTCTACACAACAGGAGGAGCGCTTCTTTCACACAAAGATCATTGTACAAACGCATTATTCTACTTGTTCATTCTTGCTGATTGCACAATCATTTCTTTCACGATACCCCGTCCGAGTCCCGTTCGAGTACGCGATCTGATCGTGTTGGGATGGACAAGAATGAGAAGATGGAGGACATCGCCATCATTGGCATGGCCTGCCGCTTCCCCGGCGACGCCACGACGCCCGAGAAGCTCTGGCAGATGATGGTCAACAAGGAGTCTGCTTGGTCCGAATTCCCCAAGGATCGTCTCAACATTGACGGATACTATCATCCGAGCGGCGACCGTCAAGGCAGCGTACGTATCTGACAATTTCACCCCATATTCCATCGTCTGATCGTGCGAGATGGCTGACTGAGTGCTTCCAGATTTCTTTCAAGGGCGCGCATTTCATCAAGAATGACGTAGCTGCATTTGACGCGTCGGTAAGTGCTGCGATGGTCACGCCTATCGCTATCTGTTGCGTTTCTTTCTGACATTGTCATCTAGTTCTTCTCAATCATGGCCGAAGACGCGAAAGCGATCGACCCCCAGCAGCGCTTCCTCCTCGAGGTTTCCTACGAGGCACTTGAAAATGGTATGTCGCCTCTTTCGTCCTAAGAGAATCCAACTTAACATGTCCCAGCTGGTCTTCGAACCGAGGATCTCAAAGGCAGCCCCACGGCTGTCTACGTCGGCTCTTTCGTCAAAGGTATGTTCTGGCTGCGGTCCTTGTCTCACTCAATTCTAACACTCCCTAGATTACGAGCAGATATGTCTGCGTGACATGGACTGGCAGCCCCAGTATGCTGCAACTGGCACCGGAAATGCCATCATGGCCAACCGTGTCTCTTACACATATGATTTCAAGGGCCCGAGCATGACTCTCGACACCGGCTGCAGCGGTAGTTTGGTCGCGGTTCATCTGGCTGCGCAAGCCCTCCGCACTGGTGATTGCGATTTGGTAAGTCTTCCGATGAAAACAAACGTACTGCGCATGCTAACGTTTCAGGCTCTCGCTGCTGGCGCTGGCTTGATTCTTACGCCGAACACCATGATGCCCATGACTGCTCTCAACTTCCTCAGCCCCGATGGCAAGTGTTTCGCTTTCGACTCCCGCGCCAATGGCTATGGTCGTGGAGAGGGTATTGGCTTCGTCGTCTTGAAGAAGATGTCTCATGCTCTCAGAGACAACGATACCATCCGAGCCGTCATTCGCGGCACCCACGTCAACCAAGATGGTCTCACTACAGGTAAGTCACGGCATATGATCCAAGTACAACTGAAAATGCTCTAACCACAACCACAGGCATCACGCTTCCCAGCAAGGAGGCTCAGGTCGCCAACATCCGCAGTCTTTACTCGAAGTACAACCTTGAGATGCAGCAGACCGCCTTCGTCGAGTGTCACGGCACCGGAACCCAGGCCGGAGATTTCAGAGAGCTCAGCGCCATCTCGGAGACACTTGCTGCCGACAGATCGAAGGACAAGCCCATCTTTGTCGGTTCTGTCAAGACGAACATTGGCCATTTGGAGGGTGCTGCAGGAGTCGCTGGCCTGATCAAGGGCGTCCTGCTCACCGAGAAGGGACAGATCCCTCCCAACATCAACTTCAAAAAGGGAAATCCCAATATCGACTTCGAGAACTGGAAGGTGAAGGTAGGTTTCGCAATCGCTTCGCGCCCTTGAAGTTGATGCTGACATTGATATCTCAGGTGCCCACCGATCTTACCAGCTGGCCGGTCGACGGCCCTCGCCAAGTCAGTGTGAACTGCTTTGGCTTCGGCGGTACGAACGCTCATGCTGTTCTTGACGAGCCCTCGCGTTACTTTTCCGCTCGCAAGATCGTGGGAAACCACAACTCTACCATTGACGCTGATTCTAGCCTTCAATCTAACCCTGTTGCTCCCAGTGGCCCTCAGCTCTTCGTGTTCTCGTCAAACGAGCGCAATGGTGTTTCACGCGTCATGAGCACGCATGCTCAGCACATCGGCTGTGTTCCCAAGCTGCCTCAGTCTGATGCCAACGACTATGCCTACACGCTTGCATGCCGTCGCTCCGTCATGGAGTGGAAGGACTTTGTTGTCGCGAATGGCCAATCCGAGTTGATCAAGAAGCTTGCCACCAGAAAGGATCAAGATTACATTCGATCAAACCGCGACAGCAAGCTCAAGATCGCATTCATCTTCTGTGGACAGGGTGCCCAGTGGCCTCAGATGGGACGCGAGCTCATGTCCTTTGGTCCATTCAAGGCCAGTCTCGAGGCTGCCGCTGCTTACATCAAGACCCTTGGTAGCGACTTCGACCTCATCGAGGAGATTATGAAGGACAAGCAGGAATCACGCATCCAAGAGCCTCAGATCTCGCAACCTGCCACGACCGCCATCCAGGTAGCGCTGGTCGATCTTCTCCGTGCTTTCAGCATCGCCCCCAGCAGTGTCGTCGGTCACTCTTCTGGCGAGATCGCGGCAGCATACGCGTCTTCTTGCATTGATTCGGAGACTGCCTGGGCGTTGGCCTACCACCGTGGCTACAGCGCTTCACTCCTTCAGACTAATCCGCCTCAGATCAAGGGCAAGATGTGCGCTGTGAGAATGTCTTGCGAAGATGCTCAGCGTTACCTCGAGGACAAGGCTCAGCGCAGAGATCTCGGCATTGCCTGCGTGAACAGCCCGACCTCAGTGACGATCTCTGGCAGTGCCGGCGACATCGATTGGTTGCGAGACGAGTTGAAGAAATGTCAGGTTCTCTGCAAAATCCTGGATGTTGACATTGCTTACCATTCCCGCCACATGAAGCTGGTCGAGGAGGACTACAAAGAACACATCAAGCACACTCACACGACTGATTCTCCTACCGGAGTCCAATTCTTTTCTTCGGTCCAAGGCCGTCTTGTTCAGGGCAGCTCTCTCGGATACTCATACTGGGCAGAGAACCTGGTTTCTCCCGTTCAATTTGTCGAAGCTGTCAAATCCTTGATGGAGTCTGATCATCAGCCGGACCTGCTCATTGAGCTCAGTCCCCACGGCACTCTTGAGTCGGCCCTTTCTGAGATCATCGACGCGCACAGTCACAACATCAAGCCGGCGTACTTGCCGCTTATGCGTCGCTTGAAGGATGCTTCTGTCACGGCTCTCGAGGCTATCGGCGGTGTTTGGGCGCGGGGATACCCGGTTGATATGCTGAGTGTCATATCGAAGTAAGTCGTTTGGGATTCTCTTTTCTGAGCCGAGCTAACCAATTTCAGGGGCAACGCCACGGGTTCGTACAAGACGCTCGTCAATCTGCCTTCATACCCTTGGAATCACCAGAAGCAGTTTTGGCACGAGTCCCACACCTGCACTGAGCATCGATTCCGCAACTTTGGCCGCGAAGACCTCATCGGAGCTCCCTCCCCTGACGCCACCACGTTCGAGCCTCGCTGGAGAGGATTCTTCCGCATTGCTGAGAATCCTTGGGTGCAAGACCACCGCGTCCAGAAGACCATCGTATACCCAGCTGCGGGAATGGTGACCATGGCCCTCCAGGCTGCCAGCCAATTGTCGATGGACATGACCGACGTGCTTGGCTTCCAAGTCACCAACTTGCGCATCGAGCGAGCCATGATCATCCCGTCCACCGCCTTCGGACTCGAGTACTCGCTCAACCTGAAGCAGATTACAACGAAGCACGAAGCCGACCCCGAGTGGGAGTTTTCCATCTACTCGAAGCAGGAACAGGGCGCCTGGATTCGACACGCTGACGGTCATGTCAAGATTCGACGAAGCACCACTGCGTCTCCTCTTTCTACGGGTGGCAGCAAGGAGAAGTACTCCGAGTTTCAGGCGCTGTGCGACAAGTCGCTTCCTCCGCGTCAGCTGTACGAAATCCTGGATGTCGTGGGTCTGAACTACGGCCCCTGCTTCCAGAACGTCGTCTCCATCTCGACCTACCGCAACTCTTGCATCAGCAAGGTCCGAGTTCCGGATACGAAGTCCAAGATGCCCTGCAACTTTGAGTACGCCCACGTCATTCACCCGGCGACGCTTGACTCGATGTTCCAGACGCTCTTCGCCATCGACAGCAAGCCCATGGTCCCGTCCATTATTGACAGCATCTTTGTGGCCGCCAACGTCTCGCGCGACATCGGTTACGAGTTCACCGGATACGCCACAGCTGAGAGATTGGGTCTTCGTGACGCCAAGGGATCCATCACCATGGTCTCTGGCCAGGACGGCTGGGACTCACCTTCTGTCGTTGTCGAAGGCTTGCACCTCACAGCCCTCGCGACTCCTTCGGTTGAGGACGGCGGCTTCATCCCCAACCACCGCAACCTGTGCTCCGAGATCGTCTGGAAGGAGAATTGCGTGACGTCTACCACTGAAGACTTCGACCACATGCTTTCACTGGCGGCGCACAAGTACCCCTCTCTTGCTGTGCTGCAGTGCGGCGGTAGCGAGCAACTGGCCAAGCACGTCTTGGAGGTCCTGTCTGAAGGCGGCGCCCCCCGCGTGTCTCGCTACACTGTCCTTGATGGTTCGACATTCTCTGTCCTGAAGAAGAAATGCGAGCATTCCTCAGCATTGAACGTTTTGGAGCAGCGCAACTGGCCCGGCGACAAGGAGAAATTTCCCAGATACAACATCGTCATCACCGCCAAAGATTCTAGTGTTGACCAAGAGGACGCATTCAACCTTCTTGCTCCAGAGGGTCTGCTCCTCAACGAAGTCTCGCACCTCGCTTGCGATGAGGGAACGGATGACTTGGATGAACTCATTCAACCAGCAGATGCTCACCATCTCCGCGCTACGTACGAGCTAGAGGCGGACGGTGCCATGAGCCCGTGGGTAATCGAGCAGCACTTCGAGGCGCGCTTCTTTGTCAACAAAGTCGATATGGCTTTGGCGGGCGAGGTTGTCATCATTGTCCCCGACGATGTCGTTCTAGAACTTGTAGGTCTTGTCAACGCTCTTATCCAGCTCTTCCTCGACAAAGGCTTCAAGGTCATCATCAGCACTGTGTCTAATGTCGAAACCTTTTACGGCAAGAACTGCATCTCTCTTGTTGAGGTCTGCGACAACTTTGTGTACAACTGGACCGAGGAGCAGTTCAACGACTTCCACAAGCTGCAAGAGACCGCCAAGAGTGTCTTGTGGGTTACTCGTTCGGCGAACCGTCATCCTACGGATCCTCGCAACGCGCCCATCATTGCCCTTGCTCGAACAATCCTGTCTGAAGACCCCCAGAAGACTATTGTCACTCTTGATCTCGACGCAGATACCTCCATCGACTCGGCTTCGCTGCCGCATACTATCTGGACCGTTGCAGAGTCGATCCTGACGAAGTGCCAAGAGGCTGAATTCGCCGAGGAAGACGGCAAGCTCTACATCCCGAGACTCATGCCCCTGAAGGCGCTGAACAAGCTGATCGAGAGCGAGTCGCGCATTCAGCTGGAGAACGTGCAGGTTTTCGACCCGCCTGCTGTCAAGACTTCTTACGAGATGGTCATCTCCAAGCCCGGTATCGCCGCCGACAGCTTCCATTTCGTCGAGAACCGCTTCACGTCGCCTCTTGGCCAGCACGAAGTCGAGATCAGAACCGTGAGCGCCTCTCTGTCTAGCAACGACCTTCAGACTGCCATGGGTCGCACGACCGAAGTCAAGCTTGGTCTCGACGTCATGGGTGTTGTCACCAGAGTTGGATCCGCCGTGAAAGACTACCATCGCGGCAAGCAGGTTATGGCCATCGTCCCCGGTGCCTTCAAGTCGGTTCATCGCGTTGATCAGAAGCTTGTCAAGTCTGTGCCGCTCCCCATCGAGCGTTGTCACTTCACTCCGAGTGGCTTCATCGCTGCCTCCTACGCTCTTCAGACCATCGGTCGTCTGTCTTCGAAGAAGAAGGTTCTTATCCACGCAGGTGCCAGCGCGTATGGCCAAGCCGCTCTTCGCATTGCGAGCCAAATTGGCGCTGAGATCTTCGCGACTGTTCTCAATGATACTTCGGGTGACCAGCGAAAGACCCTTGGAGACGCTCACGGTCTGCCTGAGGACCACATCCTGAATGCTAGCTCGGAGTCATTCGTTGCTGATGTTCTTGCCACTGGCAAGGTGGATGTCGTCTACAACCCGACTCAAGAGCACATCGTGATGAACGCAAAGTGTGTCAAAGCATGTAAGTCAATTCTAATTCTCCATTCATCTCTATCAAAGCTAACAAGTTTACAGCGGGATGCATCATTCAGCTCGCGGACAAGACTGGATCGGCTGTCCAAGCCCCTATCTCGACCACCACGTTCGTCAAGCTCGACCTAAGTGTACTCCTCGAGGAAGACCCCGAGCTCGTCATGGAACTCTTCCAGCACGTCGACCAGCTCATGCCGAAGCGCATGCCAAAGAACTCCAGCCTCCAGTGCGACCCCGTCCGCCGCTTCGACATGTCCGACTTCGAGAGCGCCTTCAAGCACGTGGACAAGGAGCCTTACCTCGGCCTGACCGTGATGGAAGCCAAGCCTGAGACCTGTGTCCCCGTGGCCAAGGAGATGCACACCAAGTCGCTTGCCTCGGTCATCGAGCCCGACGGCACTTACGTCCTCGCAGGCGGTCTTGGAGGTCTTGGACGCAGCATCGCCAAGCTTCTTGCAGACAACGGCGCCAAGAAACTGGTGTTCCTGTCGCGTTCTGGTGGCGGACCTGATGCTGAGGCTTTTCTGAAGAGCCTGAAGGGTGTTTCTGCTCGTTCTATCGCGGTGGATATCATGGATACGGATGCTCTGAAGCGCCTTGTGCCTGAACTTGGAAAGGTTTCTGGAGTTGTTCAGTGTGCTGCTGTGATTCAAGTATGTCCTCGTCTCCCCTCGTTCTTCCCCCTCATCGTCTTTCCTCTCCATCGTCGTTGCCCCTCGCCATCGTCTCTCCTCACTGTCTTTCGTCATTCACTAACATCAATCATAGGACGCTCTGTTCGAGAAGATGACCCACGCCGACTGGACTACTGCTTTTGGACCCAAGGCCGTTGGCGCCTCCAACCTCGTCGACGTCTTCGGCACCGACCCCTCCTCGCCCTCGCCCGCCCCTGCCCCTTGGTTCTTATTCCTCTCCTCCGCCTCTGGAATAATCGGAAACCGCGGCCAAGCCAACTACGCCGCCGCCAACGCTGTCCAGGACGCCCTCGCCCACAGCGTCCCCCGCGCCTCGTCCCTCGACCTGGGCCCCGTCCTCGAGGCGGGGATGCTAGTCGGGGACGAGGAGACCCTCGGAAAGCTCCGGGGCGCCGGCTTCTACGGCATCCGCCACGACGACTTTATCGAGATGGTCTCTCGCGCCATCACCGGCGAAGTCGTCCCCGGCGTCCGCACGCCCCCCCAGATCGTCTCTGGCGTCGGCACCGGCGGCCTCATCCGCCAGAACAACCCCGGCGACCCCTTCTGGTCCCGCACCGCCATGTACTCGTACATGAACACCGTCGACATTCCGGTAACCGCGCCGGACGACAACGCCGGACAGGGCCCTGGCGAGGACGACGTCAAGAGGATGCTGGCCAAGTGCGGCGGACGGGAGGAGGCGGCGGTCATCATCACCGCTGGCCTGGTCCAGCTCTTGGCGAAGGCCATGAGCCTCCTCCCGGAGGAGATTGATCCGGAGAAGGCGCCCAGCGCGTACGGCGTCGACTCCCTCGTTGCCGTTGGCATTAGGAATTAGATATTCCGCAACGCCGGGGGAGTCGATGCCTCGGTCTTCGAGATCCTTGGGGAGACGTCGATCAAGGGGCTGGCTGGTGTTGTTGCAGAGCGCGGAAAGTGGTGAATACGGGGTTGAATATGGGGGTAATGGCAAGGAAGGACAGTGTGGATAGACGGGGAGATCGTACATGACCAGGCCGCGTATAGGCGACGTCTTTAATAACATTCATTCATATATAAGTTCTCTTGGTGATCTTGCTATGCGGTGATGTTCCTCTTGATGCCTTATCTAGGAGTAATACGACGTCTTGATCACATTGCGTTCCGTTCACAAATGGGACCTACTGTACGTCGTGATGTTCATCTGATGTCTCTGGTAAATGGTCGCAATATCATCATCCTTCAAAATGAAAACCCTTGGTGGTGTCGGCAGTCGCTCCTAGCCCTTTCATATGTGCTGATGCTCAACTGATGACACCTTGTATCTGTTTGGACTGAATACATTGCCGCAAGGAGCACTACTTCAACACTTGGAGCGTACGGACTATCTGGGCCGGAAGACCCTGGTGGTGTCGGCAATCGCTCCTAGTCAATTTTATCCTTGCCCCTACTTGAGTCTAAAAAGTACGCAGCCAATAATCAGCCCGAAGCGACCTGACCCGTGCCAAAATGCAAGATCACTTTCGACAGGGTTGATTTCACGAATGATTGGGTGACCAACGGCCTCTCTCACCGTCGGCCGGCCAAGCCCGACTCAGCATGCCAACTAATGGGATTGAGGCTCTGGGCTGGCGAGTGATGGAGAAGAGGCGACGTAAGGGGAAAGGAAAGCGGCAGAGATTTATGACCAGTCAGAAATGGCAAGGCGGCCAAGCCGTCGCATGCCTCACACAGGTCGACTTTTTCTTCCCTTTCCGTGAGACTAGGAAGAGTCGTGGCACCAGCAGTTTTCGGTTGCGGCTTGGGGCTGACTGCGGGCAGCCGGGTTGTTGAGACATATGTAAGGTATGCCTTGAGAGAAATACGGAACTTTGGAATGCGCAGGATCGCAATTCTCTTTTTTTCGATGATGATGATGATGAAGGCCACCTTGATACCTTGCCGTAACCAAGGTAGGAGGCTGAAGCGGGCTTGTCAGTAGCATGCACATGAAAAGTGTACTTCTCAGAGCAGTCAAACCGAATGGGATGAACCGCAGCCTCATTGAAGGCAAAATTTTAAGAGAAGGTGCCTGACCTCACCTGGCTGAGGGAAGGACAAGCGGGACCACGGCGCAGTGCGGCAGCACATTGGCGACACCGAACGACTGCTTTAGGATGGAAGGTTCGGGACGGCAGGTGCTGCATCATATACTGCATGGATGAATGGAAGGCCGGATGAACGAACTATCAAAACGCCGGAAAGTACCTACCAGGCGAGGCTCTACTGAGGCATTGCAGTGCATGATGGTCAGTGTCGACCGAGCCTGCCTCAACTGAGTCCCATCCCTGCAAAATTGACGAAGTACTTTCCAAACGCAGGCAGCGACCGGGGGAGGTGGGGCCGCCTTCACTGTCCACCGGGCTAGGTACCTCCCGTGCTCCCCCAAGTGCCTGAGGTGCGGTTGCCACAGTACCAAAAGTAAACCACGCGCCCCCAATTAACGCGTCGCGCTTGCCCTCCAACATGACATCAATTAAAAAAAGGCACCACTGATAAGATAAGGCGGCAAGCGCACTTGTCTACCTCCCCCGGTGAGTTAAGGAAAGGTGAGGTAGGTACCTACCAACGGCCCAGGATCAGGGTCCTTCCATGGGCATCTTCAGCGATCACGAAGTCGAGAAGGCAGAAAGAACCTCGCCTTTTTTTCCTCGTCGTCGCACTTACCAAAAGAACATCCCCCACATCACAGCTTAGGACTACGACGGTTTGGGGTTGCCTGGCAGGCACGATCCGACAACTCCCTCCTTCTTCTGTGCACCTTCCTTCTCGTCGCTCTTTCCATCCGTCATCTCTCCTCGCCATTTCCGTCCGTTGGCCGCCCCTCCTTTTTCTCTCCCGTCCACCTCTTCTGCCAGCGCCTATTTATTACCCTTCCACATCGGCAAGCCACCGTCTAGGTTTTGAAGGTACCGCTTGGGAGACTTGGCTATTGCAGACAATCCCACAGCCTGCAGCGCAACCTCAATTTCTGGACCAACAGATGTTGCAGCACCGCGCCACCCCAGAGTACACCTACACCTGGCTGCCTTCTGCAGGTCGCCTCATTTGACACTGCCCGCACACCACTGCGTCCGCCTCTGCGCGACCGGGACGACAAAAATGGCTGACGGCCCCGTCGCTGCCACCGACGAGGCTCTTCGCGCTGCTGCCGAAGAGCTTCTCGAAGCCCAAGACGAACACGACTTTGAACTCGCCATCGCCCACTCCCTCGAAGACGGTCCCGACGACGCCCACACGAGCCCCGCAGAGAAGCAGGAAGCTTGGAAGAAGGTCGAAGCTTCGCAGAAAAAGGTCGAGGATAAGAAGCGACAGAAGCAAAGCTTGGAGAAGTCTTTACAGGCGGCCAAGAAAGCGGCCGAGAACGCACGCAACCCCTCGAGCAAGAAGAACGGCAAGATGGATACGTTCCCGATCGATATCAACGGCTGGGGAGGTATGTGTTTCTCCTCTTGTTTCTCAATCTGCTCTGGGACATACCTGTCATCACCGCACTGGTTGCCGCCGCGATGTAGGCAACTGTCTCGGAGAGGGCCTGTTTCACTTCATTCTTGCTAGCCCGAAAACCTCTGCTTCGCATCCGAAGCCATCATCACTTCACTTTCTGCCAGGCCTCCTTCATGGCCAATCCCTTTCTTTCCAGCATCCTATACATCCTATTCTTTCGCGATATATAAGAACTTCACAGACTGACTTGCTGCAGCCACATATCCGTATAGGACGCCGAATGCCGCCAGCTCCTTGACGGTTCAAAGCATTCCGAGGACCCCTTGGGACATGGGCAGCTCAGGTTATGCACAGCCTTCCCCTGCTGGCAGCTCCTTAACCCCGCAGTTTTTCGGCAACGATGGTGGTCGATCTACGCCCTCCAACAACAAGAGATCGCATGGATCTACCTCGTTCGACTATTCTAGTCAGGGTCGCAACAAGGCTCCGCGCACTAACGATGCGTCGGCGGACGTCATCGACCTTACGGGGTAAGTATTCATCTCAGTCTAGCATCAAGGATGAGAATACAGACCGTGGAGAAGGAAGACAAGGCTAACAAATGCCAGGGACGATGACTCGATCAACGCATCCGTCTCGCGCTCGAGACAGCAATACCACCAGCAAAGACACCAACGGCCCTCAGCGGCGAGCAGCTGGCAGGGTGGCCCAGCAGATATGTTGTCTGGTGGCTCGGCGTTCGGATCAAGCCCCATCCCTCCCGAGTTGGACTTCCAGTCTGGCTTTGATCAGTTTACGAGCCAGTATTTGAACGGCTTCCCTGACGCGGGCCCAGCCTACAATCAGATGAATAACTTTGCAGGGTCTTCATCCCGAGCAAGCGCTACACCCAATCCCGGCTTCGATTCCATGCCCTCCATGCCCGGAGCCTTCATCTCAGACGAGGAGGAGGATTACGAAAGCCCATTCGTTTCTGCCAGCCAGTACCTCCGCGGACAAAGCCACCCTTACCAGCCCGCTCTCAGCACCGCTGAAGCCATCAGTAGAACTAGGAATTTCAACTTCATGGATCTGACTGACGGGTCGGGAAACCCCCTGGATGCTCGTGTTGCGTCAATCATGCAGGATATCCACGATGACCCTCGAAGATCCCGAGAAGAAGTCGAGGCGCTCTTGAAAAACGTGCACGCAGGCATGGACATCCCCGAGGATGATCGTGAGGGAACACCGGATGCCATGAGATATCCTCTCTACGCTCACCAGAGAGTTGCTCTCACTTGGATGAAGCGTCAAGAGAATGGAACCAACAAGGGAGGCATTCTTGCCGACGACATGGGCCTGGGAAAGACGATCTCTGTCCTGTCCTTGCTGGTATCTCATAAGGCAGAGTCCGGCCCCAAGGTATGTGCTCGTCTTTTGATCTGAACTTTTCACTCTGCTGACCTGATTTCAATAGACGACCCTCATCGTGGCCCCACTCTCTCTCATTCGGCAGTGGGAAGAGGAGATCAAAAAGAAGATCAAGTCGGACGATGCCCTTTCGGTTTTTGTGTTCCACAACCAGCAAAGGATGAAGGCAACGGAGCTCATGAAGTACGATGTCGTCTTGACTACTTATGGAACTTTGGTATCCGACAAGAAGAAGCTGGCAAACTGGTGGAAGGATCTGAACGGGCGCCAAGCCAACACCAAGACGGATCCTAGTCTCGCCACCGCAGTCTCCTTCTTCCACCCCAATCATTCGATGTTCTACCGTGTGGTTCTGGACGAGAGTCAGATGATCAAGAACCACAAGGCGCAGTCATCTAACGCGGCTGCTGCGCTGCGAAGCAAGTACCGCTGGTGCCTGTCAGGAACTCCGATGATGAATGGCGTCGACGAACTCTACTCACTGTACAATTTCCTCAAGATCAAGCCGTACTGCGAGTGGACGGCGTTCCGCAGGGCTTTTGGAGTACTCTTTGGCAAGAAAGGCGACCCCAAGGCCCAGGCGATGCGCAACCTCCAAGTTCTCCTGAAGGCAACACTCTTGCGACGCACAAAGACCTCCGAGATTGACGGAAAGCCCATTTTGCAGCTGCCCGAGAAGACAGAGGAGGTTGTGTACGCCGAGTTGGACGAAGACGAGCGTCAGTACTACACGGATCTGGAGACCAAGTCCCAAGTGCAGATCAACAAATACCTTCGCAAGGGCACTCTGGGCAAGCACTACTCACACGTCCTGGTGCTGCTGCTTCGTCTGCGCCAGACTTGCTGCCACCCTCACCTTCTTCTTGACTCGGATGAGGCGGTTCCTGACGTGGATGATGGGATGCTGGAGCGCGTGAAGCAACTTTCTCCTGCAGTCGTTCTTCGACTCACTGAGAAGTCTCG